AGAAGGCGAAGGCGGTGGAGGCGAGGGCCGTGCGGGCGACGGCCGTGCGGGGGGAAGGCGTCTGCCTCGGCCGTTGCGCTGCTGCTGCGGCCGTCTCCGCCGCCCTCCCTCGCAGCCCGCTCGGCGCCGCCCTCGCCGAGAGGGACGAGGTGCTCCTGCGTGTTCCAACCCAGGAGGTGTGCGGCTCGAGCGGACGGCACAGGGGCAAGGGGCAGGGGCGTGCGGAGGTGGGGAGGTCTGGGGAGGTCTGGGGAGGTTTGGGGAGGTCTGGGGAGGTGTGGGGAGGTGTGGGGAGGTGTGGGGAGGTCTTGGGAGGTCTGGGGAGGTCTTGGGAGGTCTGGGGAGGTCTGGGGAGGTCTGGGGGAGGTATGGGGGAGGTATGGGGGAGGTGTGGGGAGGTGTGGAGAGGTGTGGTGAGATATGGGGAGGTATGGTGAGGTATGGGGAGAAATGGACCAGCTCCGCGTCTCGCCGCAGCCGCTGCAGCGCGAGCGCGTGCAGCAGCGAGCAGCGGTGCAGCACCAGCGCCTGGGAGGGAGGGAGGGAGGGAGGGGGGCAGGGAGTTGGGCGTGGGGAGCTGAGGCTGTGAATCACGCGGGCGGTGGCCGGGCAGTGCCGGGCCAGAGGCAGCTGCGTCCTGCAGGGTGGGAGAGGTGCAGTGGCGCTTGGTGGTGGGCTCGACGAGTCTCGGGGAAGGGCCCCTCGCCTGGAAGCGGCGCCGCGCAGCCACCTGCGCCGAAACCTCCGCCGGGATAGACACCGGACCCGGAGGCCGGAGGTGGAGCTGGGCGCCGGCGTCGAGCGGCTCGCGCCACGCACCGAGCAGCGAGCCGACGAGCGGCGACGAGTGAGTCACGGGCGGAGAGGCGGCCTGCGCGGCGGCCTGGTCGCGTCGCAGAGACGCGTCATGCCCGCGAGGGTGCGGTGGTTTGTGGGGTTTGGTGGTGAGCTGGGAAGTGTCTCGGACGTGTCGCACGCCTCGCACGCGTCCGCTTCAGAGACGCGGTGGTCAAACACGAGCGCCATGGCCGCCGCGTCGCCCCACTTGGAGGCCATCGTCGCGCAGGCCAGCCGAGCCTCCCAGTACCGCGCGTAAGCGGTATTGGTGCGAAAGACGAGCGCAAACGCGGTGATGTAGCAAAAGACCTGTTGCGTGTGAGTGAGCGGTTTTGTTGGAGAGTACGCGAGCGGTGGTGGGCCGGCGGAGGAGGCGCCTGGAACGGGTACGGATGTGAGATGAGTGCCTCGAGGAGCACGTCGCTCACGTACAGCTCGAAAAAGACGGCAACCGCGGAAGAGAAGATGGCTGGGATGAGCGCACGCGGCAGCGCTGAGCCGTTGCATTTCCAGAGCAGCGCGAGGCCCATGAGCGACTTGCGATAGATGATCATTGTCAGAGGAAGACGGGTGAGCGGAGAGCAGGCGGACTCCTGGGCAACGGTGAACAGTCGGCAACAGCTGACAAAAGCGGCGGTGAAAAAGAATTCTCGGTATGCTCGGACTGGCGTTAGTTTTTGTGGGAGGCCGAATACGTAAACTGCCAGATACTCGGGCAAGGGACAATAAAACGGAAAAGAAAAAAACACAGAATCTCACGTGCCCGGCCCGACGCCGCGTTGCGAAACGGACGCACGCCGCGAACGCAGGGCGACGACAGTCGTGCACGTGCTACCCACCACCTCGCCGCCCACGACGTCGCTTACTCCGGAAACACCACTTCTGCGGCTCCTCGGCCGCCTGCTCCTCGTCGTAGGCTGCAGCGTGCACAGCGTCAGCCTGCGCCCAGCAGCTCACACCCTCTGCTGCGCGGTCTGTCAGCGTGCCAAGAACCAGCCAGAAGGCAGTGCAGGGTGCGGCTACACTTGGCCACCACCGCCACCGCCACCACCACCGCCACCGCCGCCACCGCCGCCACCACCGCCACCATCGCCACCACCATCCCAGCTACTGGGCCTGCTCGCGCTCATATATATGCCATGGGGCTGCGCTGCAATGAGCGTCGCCGCCAGCATCGCCACCGGCAATCGACAGCGGCGAGGGATAGGAGCTGGACGTACCCACGATACAGCAAAGGTGTTGCTGGGCTGCCCGGTTTACATTAGGACGGCCTTGCTGCTGCTAGCGGTGCTCCCCGCCGGCGCGCAGCAGGAGTGGGCGCAACTTGGCTCCGACATCGACGGAGAGGCGGCGGGGGACAGGTCTGGCTACTCCGTGAGTCTCTCAGCGGACGGGGCGAGGCTCGCCGTCGGCGCGTTTCGCAACGATGACG